CCACCCCTCCCTTGCCGCATCTCCATCAAATTCCATGGCAACGCCTACGCCTCCATCAACCGATGAAAGGAGGCCGAGGCCGAAGCCGCCGCCAAGAAGCTCCGAAAGCGCGGCAAGGGGAGTCGCGTTAGGCGGCGCGAAGCCGAGCGTGGCGGCGCGCTAAGCTCGGCGGCACGGTTGCCGGTAGCAGCTGGTCACGATCCCCCTTCAGCGCACGCAGGGGCTGGAGCGGCGCCGGGCGGTGCGGCGGCGGCGGCGACGGTTGGGACGGGCATGGAGGAATACGCGAGGAGATGCGGGAGGGAGGATGAGTACGAGGTGAGCTTACGGCCTGTGTATGCTGCGGCTTTCATTATTTCTTGTGCCGATGTCAAGCATGGGAAATCAGTGTTTCCTTGGTGCTGTACGGTGATGTGCTGCTGTGATGTGTGACGGGTAAGTACCTAGCGCGCGAGAGGTTTCGACCGCCGCCGCGGGTGGAAAGGCAGTGTTGCTGTTGCTGTGGAGAAACAGATGGCGTCGAAGGCTGCCGTACTCGCATGTTCCGCAGTTCGTTTCCAGAGCGCTCGCTCCTAGAACAGACAGACCTGCCTCTACTGCTGCTGCTGCTGCTGCTGCTGCTGCTACTGCTGCCGCTGTTGCTGCCCCCACTGCCTGCACTCCCAATCCACGTTCGGTGACCCAGCTCGTTAATGAATCGCGACCCCCGTTTTTCACCCTTCCGTTGGCGCGATATGTTTTCTCTTATTTTGTTCACCATACCTTGTGCTGAGAAGGTCGTGTTCGGTCCCGGGGGCATGGGGTTCACTCTGATGAAGGATGCCGTTAGCCGGGCGCTCGTCACCCGCCTGGCACCCGGGGGCATGGCGTTTCGGCTCGGGGTCCGCACAGGTGAGGTGCTGCCGGCGCTCCTTGCGCCACCCCGCCACCTGCCATCTGTGGTTGCGGGTCGTTGGGCCGCCTGGCGTAGTTGAAAATTTTGACTACTGATGGCTTTCGGGCTATGCGTAGTGCGCAAGCAAGGGCGCCTCCGAGATTCAGCAAGAGAATACTAGAGTTCCTCCCCCCCCCCCCC